AAATAAATTGACCACGATTCCATATTGGAAATCAATAAAAGGGGAAAACACTTTCTTATAGTCGCTGTAATCAAGGTTCTGCTTTTCAACAACAAATATACGTAACCTGACACAAACACATGAGCAGTGACTCACTCTGATGAGCTACAAATGAGACGGAGAAGTTGCCTTCACGGACTCTAACTGGCATCGATCCCTCCCACACCCAGCAGCACTCCGTCGCCCACGCAGATCATTAGCGGCTGAACTGATCAGGGATCACCAACAGCAGCTGTGCAGGAATCAACACTTTATCAGTCGCTTCTAATGAGACAGAAAGTGACTAATATCAGCTGTATTCATCCAGTGCAACGTTCAGCGCCTTCATCCCGAGGCCAGAGGAGGGACAGCATTCACACCTTTACATGTGGTTTACTATCCACCCTGACTGTCTCGGTCGCTTTGTTTGATGTCACACTGATATTAAATTCTTCAATATTTCAGCAGCTGTGCACGTCTTCCTCCACGCGCTGCTCTCAACAACGTTTTCATAAAACCGCTTCTCCAAGACGATTTCTGGCAACAGAAGCGAGATCTGTCGCGGCTTTACTGCGTTTGTTACGGCTCGAATGATCATGAAATCCCATTAAAGATGTATTCTTATTAAAGTAACATAAGGGATATATTTCCCAGAAAAAAAAACCTGCTATATAACTTCTAAGTCTCATTTTATGTGGGGACTGTAAAAGCTGCTGGTGTTTCTTTTGGATTCATAATAAAATATAGATTTTTTTCTTTTTTTTGAACGGAGCCTTGAGACACTAGTGGGAAGACTTTTGATCCGTGTATGAATACTTTTAAATAGTCATTGTTAAATTCATTTAGCCTCTTGACCCCTGACATGCTCTGACAAAGCAGAATAAACTTAAAATAACTTCTGTGCAGAACTTCTAGCAGCTGTGACTTCACGCTGTAAAAAAATAATTTATTATCATCTGACATATTTTTGGCATTTTTCTGTTTTCATAGATTACATACATCTAATCAGCAAAAATAAAATGTCATTATTAATAATAATAAATAAACAAATGATTAATTATATATTAGAACTACAATGATTAATTTGACATTGTTTGAAAGAAAAAGAAAACATTGTAATATTAATAATTAATTAATATTGTATTAATTTACATGTTGACTGTCAAAATTTAAAAAAAATAAAAAAAGAAAATAGGCGAAAATCTGTATCTAATGTCAACATCAAAACTAACAGTTTGTTCTTGTGTTGATTCACATGATAACTGTTTAAAAAAACACGCACAAAAACTGGTGAAACCTGTAAAAAAAAATTGTATTTTTACAAATGCATTTTTTTTTTACTATATTTAACTGCAACAGTTTTTGCTGATTTAAATACAAATTAAAGAAAGTTTTTCTTTACTAATTTTAAACATCATTTAATCGTTAATCAAATTAATTAAGGAAATAATAATTATTATTACAGATACTTGCTACTGTTTAAAAGAAACATGATTAAAAAAACAGATTTTTTAAAAACAGAATTTACCTTGTTTTGTAAAATTACAAATATAACTTCTAAAATAAAAAATGTTTATTTACATGTTGACTGTTAAAATGAAAAATAGCAATAATGTAATAATCTAATGTTCACATCAATAATCAAGTGCAAATGAGTTCATAATTAGTTAGTTAATCATTTTACAGAAACGTCCCATTAAGACGTTTTTATGTCAGAGTCACATGTTGGATGAACATCAGAGAGCTTCTCAATCTCATTTTACGTGTCGATTGTAAATCTTTTGGTTTCATAATAAAGGACCCTTTTAAATATTTATTTAAACGCAGCTTTGAGACACGAGTGGAGCGACTTCTGATCCTCGTTTAAATACGTGTCAATAGTGAACGTTGAATCTATTTAGTGTCGTGACTCTTAATGTGATCCTTTGTGAGTCCAGTTCAACTCAAAAGCACAACGTTTTCCTCCTTCATTGTTGCTTCTGGTGCACCAGTGGGCGTCTCATTGGATTTATCTGATGGAATATGAGCTCCTCTGTTGGACTCTGAAGAGAACCAAACTTGCAGCCTTGCAGCCGTTATCCTCCACTCCACGTAATTTGAAAAATATGGCTGTAAGACGCAGATTTAATCCTATTTGTGGGGCTTAGCGTTCCATTAATCTAATGGCTCTAAACTGGGCAGCGGATCGTATTTTGCTAATTCGCTGGCGTGCCGCCGTCTCAGGCCGAGGCAGGTCGACTTATCGCAGGAAAAGGCCTCATGTGCAGCTTTAGAGCGTCTCTACGAACCAACAGCAGCCGTCAGTGATCAAAGCCAGGTCAACATGCAGGATATGCAGACGTGACGCATCTCTGATCCGCATGCAGGTTAATAGAAATGAACTCGTCCATAAATCAAACAGAGGACAAGAAGAAAATGTGAGGAAGGAGAACAGGGAGATGAAGCGGTAAACATGAAGCTCAAGCAGCTTCTGGGGTTTTGATGTGTTTCTGTCATGTTGTCACTCACTGTCAGATCATTTTTCACTCTAATATAAAGTCAACGGTGCCATAAATCACATATTTAAACCTCCACAGACTGTGTTTTCGCTCCATGTTCCACCATCAGCTGGATGGATCTCCACCAACCTCCTCCTCTGCTCACTGTTTCTGAGCCATGCTGCATTTATTTACTGATCCAGGAGGTTGGATTTTCCACTCAGGCTCTCTTGTCGTCTTTTTTTCTTCTTCTTTTTTTTTTTTAATTTCTATTTTTTTTTAAAACAAGATCTGGTGCAAAAGCTTTATTTTTGGTGAAGTTTTTAAGAGAGGCGTGAGTGTTAAAGTCATTTTTAAGATATTTTAAGCTTAAATCTGGTTAATTATCCCGACAGATCTGCACATGATCAGTTCAAGAAAACGTTCTTTTATGTTTGACAGTAAAATTCTATTACCTACAACTGTATTTAAATCAACCAATATTAAGGATTACTTTACAGATTTTTCCTTGTTTTTAGAAATTACAGATACTAAATAAACAACATTTCCATGTTAACTGAAAAAAAGAGGAAAAAGTCAAAACTATACATGATTTTTAGAAATCTGTATTTTCACAATTTTTGAAAAAAAATGTTCTGTTACATTTGACTGTAACGTTTTACTGTTTCAATAGATTTAAATTAGCGACAAATTGTGTTATTTTACAGATATTTTTTAATAATTGAAAGAAAAAAAGATGTATGTTAGGGATTTTTTAAAAAATTGTAAATAATACATTTTTAAGTGTTATTTGACAGATTTATCCTGTTTTGTTAAACTACAGATAATAACTTGTAAAATTACAGAGAAAATTATTAATTTACATGATGGCTGTAAAAACACAGGCCAAACATGTAAATAACATAAAAAAAGAAAAAATCTGTATTTCTACATGGAATAACTCGCTCTGATTCAACCTTAAAACTGCTGTTTTTATGTATTTAAATCCATTACAAATATTAATATTTTAGAAACATTTTTCGTTAATTGAAAGAAAACTGATGTATATTAGGGATTGAAAAATAGTAAATAATAATAAATTAAAAAACAACAACAACAACAATTTTAACGATTATTTTACAGATTTACACTGTTAATGGTTTTATTACTGTAACACTACAAGTTCAGTTTATAGTCGTCGAGCATTTCTGGGCTGATTTCTCTAAACTCTCCCACCGAGCCACCTCCGATCCACTGACCTGGCTTCGTCCCTGCGGTGCCTGAACCGGACCCGGCCCAGGTCCAGCTGTGCCCAGGTGAAGGTGTCGTCCCGGCCCAGCTCTGCTTCCCCTCCGTCCTCTCCTCCCAGCAGAACCAGCTGTCCGCTAGCGGGAGCCTGAACCAGGCTGAAGACCAGCTGGTCCGGGGGACCGTCCGGGTCCGTCACCTGCAGCAGGGTGGAGGGCAGCGGGGCGGAACCGTCCAGGGGAACCAGCAAGGAGCCGTTGACCCGGAGGACCGGAGGGTGGCTGTTAGCTGGGGTAGAAATAAAGTAAATAAAAAATACAGTAAAACGTAATAAAACACTTTCATTCTTCCTATGTGGAGAAAAATCAGGTCACTGTAAAATATGAACAATTATTAATGGATTTTCAAATGACAAACATATATTATATATTTTTTTTAATATTATTATTTTCTATTGTTATTTGACAGATTTTTCTGCACTTAAATCAGCAAAAACTATTATTATTTTATATTCATTTGACGTTATTTAATAAAACATTTTGTATTTTTTAACTGTTATGTTACAGATTATCTTTATTTTGTTAAATTACTCATAACACTGTGTAAAATTACAGAAAATAAACATTCATTTACATAAAAACTGTAAAAAAAAAATTTTTTAAATGGTCAAAACTGTAACTTACATAAAAAAGGTACTGTATCTATACAATCTTTATTTTATTGTTATTATTATTATTATTATTTTATTTTTAGTGTTTGATTGCTAAATTATTATTAAATTATTTTTTCTGTATTGAAATTAGCAAACAAATATTTTACACATATTAAAAACATGAAAAGACTTAACAATAGTAATAAAAAATTAGTTATTTCACAGATGTTCCCTGTTTTATTAAATTTCAGACAATAACAATCACAGAAAAAAATAATCATATACATGTTAACTGTATCGTTAAAAAAAAAATATAACCACATCAATAAATCAGTATTTTTAATTATTTTACAACATTTAACCTGAAAATTAAACCATTTATTACTTAATTCAGCGAAAACTACTACTATTTTATATTTATTTGCCGTTATTTGAAAGTGACATTATATACTGTTTAACAGGGATTTTACTGATTTGCCTTTTTTTTGGGTAAAATTACGGAAAATGCACAATAATGTAGATATTAATTGTAAAAAACAAGCAAAACAAAAACTGGCCAAAACTGTATGTGTGACTGTTAAATTATTGTTAATATTTCTGTATTTAAATTGGCAAAAAATATTATTTCACATGTGTAGTAAAAATGAAAGGACTGAATCATGTTGTTTTGTTGTTTTTTAAATCACAGGTATTTTACAGATTTTTTTTTTGTTAAATTACAGATTATAAATTGTAAAACCTCCAAAAAAATACATTTATTTACATGTTGACCACAGAAAAGAGAGACAACAGTAAATAACGTCCACATTAATAATCTTTAGTTTTACAAATAATAATTTGCTCTTTAATAATATATGACTTATATGAATTATAGAATTTTATTGTATTTAAATTCGTTTAAAAAAACATAACTTTACAGATATTTGTTGTTATTTTCACCATTTTTCCACCCTGTTTTGTTGTCTTGTTTTTTTACAGTGTACAGTCATTAAAAAGATGCTGCTGCAAAAACAGCTCATTAAGTATCAAGACAAACATTATGGCTTTAAAACAAAGTGAAAATATGTAAAAGTAGGAAATTACAGAAGAGAAACACATGTAGAGCAGCAAACATGTCCTCAAAACACACTTTAGAAGTCCACTGATGAACTATTTACTGAAGAAAAGGGATCAAATTGAGCAAAATAAGAAGTTAAACAGCCTCTAATTACTGTGATTAACGTGTTTTAATGATATTTTCAAGGCCTTAAATGTGTGTAAATGAAGCTTCAGGAGTGTGAGTGGGCGTCTGGTTCACCGGAGGTTGTGAAATGAAATAAAATAAACTAAAAGTGTGCCTGGCGAAGTGAGACGTCTCGGCCCTGGCGTGGCATTTTAGAAGTTGGCTTTAATTGGAGGCGACTTTGTTGGGGAACTTTTTAAAGATCAGCTCTTTTGCGACGCCACACAGTAATCTCATTATATCTCCTCTAATGATGCCAACAGGCTCTCAAACTTTTTCGCCGCGTAATTATACTCGCAAATGAGAGCGAGTCTATAAATTAAAGCAAAACTTTTTCTCTTCTTTTTTTGGGTTGGCAGGCAGAAAAAAGGGGGAATTTCTTTGCTATTTTACTTGATTAAGTCGTGGATTAGCTGAAGCCCGGAGGCAACAAAAAAAAAGTTCATTATTCCACAAGAAGGGAGCATTTATCACAAAGGCTGCGTGATAATATATTTCTCTGTTGGAATTACGCTTCGTCACATTTGGCGAATCATCTGGCGCGAAGGCCTCGAGCGCCTCCGCCTGCAGGTCCACGTTTGAAGATAAAAAGGGGGAAGGAATGAAAGTACGAGGCGTCTTTAATGACCCGGCTCTGCAGACAAAAGCTCCTCAGACGGACCAATTAGCATTTTACTAACAGGAACAGACAGAAATACAGGTTCTCCAACTTCAGCTCGCGTCTTTTAGTCTTCGGCTCGGACCTGCAGGAGTTTAAAGTCGACTTATTTACATTTATACCTAAATATGCAAAGTTTAGTGCACGTAAAGGAGCTAATCGACAGCTTTGCAGCTCCTCTGAGTCCAAACATTTGGATATTCATCAGCTCAAAAGAGAAATAACTGCAGTAAATGTGCACCTATGCTAGCTGTCTAATCATAATGTACTGACTTTTCTGCTTTACTTCTTCTTAAAAAGAAAAATAAACAAATAATCTGACATATTTCGATGCTCTAAAGCTACGTTTTGCAGCAGTTTAAGCTTCTTTTCTGAATTAAAGCTCCTGACATGTTGCATTGTAATTAGCTGTTTATTTGTGGAAAATAGTTCATTAAACAACAGAAGTTCATAAATAATGAGCAAAATTAGAAGTACTTCCTGGTTGGTTTACCCGTTTACTGGGTTGTTCCCCAAAAATACACTTTTCTAATAATTTATCTCTAAAAAAAAATAACATAATCATAAGAATTTTCAATGGTTTTCGCAAATATTTGACTTGAATACAGCATAAATTACTATTTTTTGGGCAGAACGGAACCGGAAACACAAAAGAAAATAAATGTTTATGCAACTCTGTATCTTCTGAACGTGTGTTTAACATGTAGGATGTAAAAAAGTTAAAAGAATCACCACAAAACCGACTCTTCGTTTGAAGGCGAAACCTTCTCGGTCTCAGAGATTTTATCCACTGCCGGTCTGTCGCCTAGCAACCAGCCACGTGGGTTTGTTTTTATGGGATGTCTCGTGGTCATTTGCATTATTTATGGAGCCATCTTGATTTCATTTGCATATAATAAAACTGCTCCCACCACAGAGCCGTCGGTGGAATTTAAACGCTAAATAAAAGAGCAAGAGACTCCAAGAGGCTGCAAGAGGCTTCAGGAGACTCCAGGAGGCTCCAGGAGGTTCCAGGAGGCTCCAGGAGGCAGACACATCGGGTTTCAGGGCTTAAAATGATTTCCCCACAGAGTGAATCGTGTCTACTAGATGATCCTGGCATCAAACGATGGTAAAAATTAGACCTTTCGTTACTTGTTCTGACCAACCACCATCACACATGCTGATATGAGCCTGGAAGGTTTACCCAGAATGCACTTCTTAAAGTTTTCTCTGGTGAATGATCAGAAACCAGAAACACATCCAGGGTACCAGTGATTGTTTCTATGACTCTATGTCATTAAACTGCTGCAGTCTGACTGTTACCACTATGAGACATCCCATAATACATTCATTTTCAAGTCATTTTCAACCATTTTGACTCAACAAGCCAATCAGCACTTTTGCTATCAGTCAAGGGTTTACCTTTGTCCGAACGGGTCATTCTTTCGCTAATCGGTATCAGCATGTACCTAAGACCAGTGCTTTGTTTGTGTCCAGTATGATACAGCTGAGTTGTAAAACCAGAGCAGAATTTAACTTGTCAACAATGATCCAAATCATGTCCTCAACAATTCGAAATCTAGTCCAAAGTGTTTTGAAACTCCTTCAAAATGTCTCGAAACTCTTCCGAAATTACTCCAAATGGGTCCAAAATGTCAAAAACCACATCAGACTGATGCCGAAAATATCTGGAAATTTCCAAAACTATTCAAAACTTCTCCAGAGTGTCTTAAAAAGTTTTACAAAATGACACAAATATTGTCCAAAGTGACTCAAAACCAGAGAAAAGAAAACATGGCCAGAACATCAACCATTTATCCAAAACAAGACCTTTCATTTGCTACAACTTGTTCTAATCAACTGATTTGGTGGCAAGTTTTTACGAGAACTCAAATGTGTTTTTCACCTCTGATAATTTCATGAGTATCTATCTGCTGTTCTGCCGAAAGAAAATTGTCCAAAATGACTCAAACTCTGTCCTAAGACATTTAAATTTGACCACAATACCTCAAGATTCATTCAAAATGACAAAAACTTGCACAGAATGTCTTAAAACCTCTTCAGAATGCCTCGAAACTTGTTCCAAATGACTCCAAACGTGTCGTAAATGACAAAAACCTCTTCAGAATGACTAAAAGGTTGTCCAAAACTCTCCAAAACGTGTCCAGCATGTCTTGAAAAACAGCACAAAATGACCTGAAACTTCTCTAAAATGCCTCAAAACTCGCCGAAAATGTCTGGAAACCTGTACAAAATGACTCAAAACCAGAGAAAATGAATTGTGGCTACAAGATGAGCCTCTTATCAAATGTGAGACTTTTATTTGCTGGAACTTGGATGGAAAAAAACGAGAAATTTCAACCCTCTTCACTGGCACGTCTTCATTAAATACACTGAAGCAACTGTAGATCATAAACCAGCTGATTCTGAGGAGGTCTGGGGTTCTTTTGTCTTTGACTTTATTTGTAACGACCCTCTAAAGGAGACGTCTCATGATGATTTCGTGCTCGTTTTCTTTTCGACTTTGCCAGTTTGTTCCCATAGATCGGAGCTCTGACAATGTTTAGGAACCCCAGCAGATGGTAAATGTTGGTTCCTGAAGCGACAGCAGGCAGTTTGTGTCAACGCTGATCAAACCACTGCAGAGTCTCTTAACTCCACCAACCCTCTTCGGGGTAATTACGGTCAACACATATGATTTGTAGACGGGCTTTGTTACGTTACCGTTGCAGGTCCTGGTCTTCTGGTCGGCGTAGTACCCGTGACCACAGTCGGGGGTGCAGTATCCCTCCATGAGGTAGGTTTGATCACGGCAAGCTCTGCAGCGTCCGACGCCGTCGCACAGCACGCAGTCGGACGAGCACGCTAACGAAGACAAACAGCGTTAAAGGGAAGCTCCTGGCTGGGCTGCACACTTGTTTTCTCAAACCAACCGCTGCAGGTTCCATTCTTCCTGCTACCTTTCCTTATCTTTCTCTATATAATAAAACAAGATTAAAGCCAAACTAACACACCTGGCTTTGCACATGCAGATGCTATCTTTTTGAAATGTGTCTCGGATGCACTAAAAAAAACAACAGAAAGCAGTGAACTCGTACGTTTGCAGACGTTGGAGTCCAGGAAGTGGTTTCGGCCACATTCGAGCACACACTGTCCCTGCAGGGTGGCGTACGGAGGCTGACACTCCCGACACCGTCCAGGACCTGCACACTCCGTACAGTGGTCGTCACAAGCTGGTGGAAACACAACCAGAGCGTCAAACATGAGGAGGAAACCAAAGGGCTTCAGTAGAAGGCAACAGGACTCCTCTGTTTGGTTCTTGAAGATGTTTTACCTCCGTCCAAGGGATCCTTGGTGAAACTTCTACAAGAACCAAAGACGTCCAGTTGCCTCTACTAAAGCTCTTCAGATGATCAGGATAATTGAGAATCTACACATTGTTTATTAATGAAAAGCTAATAGGAATCAAGCTGCACTTTACTACCTCTCTATGTTTAGAGTTTAATCATAAAGTACTTTCTTTCAGGAGAATTCCAAGTGTTAAATGTTCTACTATTGTAATAACTGTGGCTTGGAAACCGATGCGTCGAAGAATCGGTTAGAAGATCCCTGATTCAAGTTGAGCATTCGTTTACCCAAATAATAAGAAGCACTGCACTCATGTGTAACCAACGACAGAAGGTAAAACCTGAGCTGGAGCTGTACTTCTGTTATCAGTCGAGGGTTTACCTTTGTCTGATCGGGGCAAATCAAAACATTCTTTAGCTAATCGCTATCAGCGTGAACTGAAGATCGATGATCTGTTTACGTCCAGTGTGATACAGGTGTTGTAAAGGGAGAGCAGAATTTGTGGCAGGATGCTAGAAATGCTCATTTTAAACACTTTTCTAAATCAGTAATCTGCAGCGTTATCACTCAGGGATGGATTGATCGCTAACGCTAATCGAGCACTGTATTGATATTGCTTTATTTTAGTCAAAAAAAACATGATTTAGGCCAATAAGTGGCTTTGATATGCCACTGGAACATAAAAAACACTGTCTGAGTTAAAAATATTAGCTCTAGTCGGAAGTCATTAAGCGTAACGGAAGTCTTTGTCATGGTGACCATTGTTAGCTAAAGCCCCACTGTGCTTCCAACTCACCAGTGTGATGATATTGCTATTTCAGTCAACGGACACATAATTTAGGCCAAAAACATGGTTTTATTACGCCACAGGTATATATTTCTTTTTAAAAAAAACCTGTCTTAGTTGATCCCAGTCTGTCTTAAATACATGAGCTCTGGTTGGAGGTCATTAAGCTTAACGAAAGTCTTTGTCATGGTGCCCGTTGCTAGTTAAACCCCCACAATGCTCTCTGCTTGCCAACATGAACTGCCTGTAGTCCAAGTGATCGCCTCCATGAGTGTTAAACAGCAAGAAGCGCCACCTGGTGGAACAACCAGGTGCTGCAGCTGTTCTACAATACGTGAAGTGGGTATTATGGAGAAAAATGGAATCAGGAGTTGGCAGATATTGAATATAAAATGACTCAGATTGGATATGTGGCAAAATATCAGAACATCCCTACCTTAGAAACAGTTTGCAGGAGCTCAGGGTAGAGTCGAATTTCCATCAATAATCAGCTGCATTCTAATTTAATAACACAGCTTCAGCACAGTGAATATGTCCGGAGCTAATCTTGCTGTTTTTAGATGAGATTTTAGTGGTGTAGTCGCTCTGATATGTATATCGCTGTGATATTGGAACTACTACTTGATCCTAGTTTGTCCTGAGTTCATTAAGTGGTACATAAGTCTTTGTCAGGGTGACCATCGCTAGCTAAACTCCCATAATGCACTCTGCTTGTCAACATAAACTACCTGTAGTCTGACTGACGCCTCCTCTGATCATTTACAATATTAAACAGTGGGAGGCTCCACCTGGTGGAACAACCAGGTACTGCAGCTGATCTACAATACATTTTCTGACATCATGTAGAGAATACAGGTTGTCTCCATCTTTTGGAGCTTGTGGAGCCTCAGTACATCAAACCATCTAACACTACATTTCCAACAGTGACCTACTGGAGCTTTACAAGGTTCATGAACACCTCCAGAACATTAAAGAATAACTTAGAGGCACAAATGCATTTTTTCAGAGCTATTCAGTTGTCAAGCATGTACATTAGATGGATTTGAGCAGGTTTAATGCACTTTAAATGTGTGTCATCTCAGAAACTGGTGGACTGGGATGCTAAACATCAAACGACTCTGATCTTTACTTGTAGTTTGTAGGTAACCTGTGCGTGTCGTAGCTCCAGTGTTGTGGGAAATGAGCACAGTCCGACAGGGCTGATTAAATTATCGTAGTCAGCCATAAAGTGTCTAGTTTCAGCCTAACAGCTGTTCAGATGTTATGTACCGTGTTCGCTGACCTAAAAGAGAAGACATAAAGGCTCGGTTCATGAAACGTTATGAGTCTCTGCTTCCTCTTCATCACCGCAGAGTTCGTCCAGACGGTAAAGGTCGGCGGCTCTGAGTCAGGACAGAATAAAGGTCTGACAGCAGAACCTGATTCGACTGACAAACTCTGGTTCTGGGTGCAGCCTTATGTAAGACTATGTATCACTGTGTGGTCATTCCCAGATTAACCAAGAGCTGTGAAGGAATGAATCTGGAAAAAGTCATGAAGTTTCTCAAGACTGAACGACTATAACTCCTTTCTGCTATCAAACATAATCCACTGTCTTGTCTCTACGTGGTTCAGATCTTACTGGTTACCAATCCTGGATTCCCTCAATGTTTGTTCTAGCATTGATTTTAAGATTTCATTCATCACATTTAGGGCTAGAAATCTGAAATGTCGACCCAGTATGAACCAATTTGCAGCCTTAATTAAGTCACTTCTTAAAACCCATTTAGTTCGACTTGCTTTTGGTGATTTAATTGGTTAATACTTTATTCATCCCCTCGCCAACGCATGTTACATTCAAGAAAAATAAGGAGACCAATGTACAAAGGAACATGCAGTCAATGCACAAATTGTGCTGGTTGAAGAAATAAGGTGCAAAATTGTCAGAATTTACAATTAAGATACAAAATTAAAAGGTGCAAAATTGCTGGTGTTTACAATAAAGATGTAAAATTAATGATATTTGCAAAAAAAAAGTGCAAAATTGTTGGTATTTATATTGTAAAATTGTAAAATTTCTGGTATTTGCAATAAAAAAAGATGATTAAAAAGTCTGTGTAGAGTGTGTAAGTAGAACTAATAATAAGCATAGAGGAGGATTATTGGTTTTACAGCTGCATTGAGTGATGTCACTTATTTTATTCTGTGTGATGGTGTGTTTGCTGCATTCATTATTATTACTATTTATTATTGCATTTGTATCAGTTACTGTCGGTTCTTTTTCTCCCTGCTTTAGGCCGACTGGCTTCTTCTTCCACTCTGTCGTCTCGTCCGTCAACGCACTTTGTAAACTCCGTAAATATAAAGTTATTGTTCTTAATATAACAACATGTTCCTCGGGAGGAGCGTTTGACGCGAACACATTAAAGGAAAGAGTTCAAATTGCGAAGGCGTCTCTCGTGGAACGGCGTGCGTCAGCTGTTGTTGATTAACTGCTTTAATAAGACGCAGATTTTGCTGAAACGCAGCTTCGAGTGGCCGCAAATGTACAAACTCCGGCAGCAGCAGCAGCAGCAGTATGTATGTGATGTGAGGTGAGGTGATGCCGGCGGGTTTATCTGCTCGCTGCCGGACTCACCGAGGCATCTGTCTCCGTCCTGATAGGAGCCCGGGGAACATCCGGGCCCGCATACTCCATCCTGCAGCACGTATCCGTCCATGCACTGCAGGCAGTCGGTGCGCTGAGGACCTTTGCAGGCGTTGCAGCTCCAGTCGCACTCTGGGAACAGGAGGAGGAGCGTTGGGATTAGAGGTGAGGGGATTTTAAAGGCAAAAAAGGTGAGAGCAGAACAGAACAGAACAGAACAGGGGGATGGAACAGGAGATTAATAACCTTTTTTTTTTTTTATTCCAGCAGGGGATTGATTTTTCTCTCTCTCCGCTATCACCTGCACATCTGTTGTGTTTCCATTCATGCCGGCGTGAAAATTAAACACAATTAGGACAAATAAAGCTCTTTGTGTTCGCGCCAGAGATCCAAGACTCGTGTTAAAGCTTCGGCTGATTCCACAAAAAAAGAGATTACTTGCTTAGATTAGATTAAGAGGGCGAGACGTGTAATTATAGCGAGTCAAAGGGTAGAAAAGCTGAAAATCAGAGGATCCGCTGTGTGGAAAACATGAAGATATATGAATAAAACCACACTGTGACTCATTCATTATCTTTACAGCTAATTTAGCTGCAGCTGCTAACAGTTAGCATGTTTGTTTTTGAAGTTAATCAATTAATTGGACTATTTGTGACGGCCGTGAATCATGTTCTGTTTTTAAAAGGTTAAATCCAGATCACAGTTGTTCAGAAGTAATTTGATTGGATTAAATCTTGAAAATGGGATGTTAAAAAAAGGATCCTAAATCAGATTAGATCACAATTTTTGGTTTTAATTTGACCCAAAGCTTCAGTTTGCAGTCCCATTAAGATGAAAATCTGCAGCCACGGTGGATTTTAGTAAGAAAATATAATAAAATGATCGTTTATCAAATAGAATAGATGCATTTCTTTCTTTTTTTTCATTTGATTTCTTTAATTTTTGCAGTGATAAAGTGGATAAAGTTGAACTTTGGCTACATATGAAGCCTTTCAGAGCCGTAAAGTAGAAAAAAAAGCAGCATTTGGTCATTAAAATAATTCCCCAGAAAAAAAACAATTCATTTAACCATATCTGTCAAAAAACTATATTTAAAAACCCTATAAAAGGGATGTTTGTGTTGTTTTCTGTCTTTTTAATTAAAAAGAACTATAATGACTGGATTCAGAAGTTTAAATCCAATGTTTTGATGAAAAGTCAGCACAAAAGTCAGAATAAAAAGCTGATTTTAGACGTTTTTTTAATGTAATTTGCATCAACTGCTGTTTTTTCTTTCAACTCATATGTATTGAAATCCTATATTTTGCATTTTGTGTGTTTTGTCGTTATTCTTTTCTGCACAAAAGGTCAGAATAACAAGCTGATATTGGACGGTGGTAAATATTCAAACTAAATAATTTCATCACACATCTTTCGAGGTGACAGCGAGAGAATGGAACTGAGGAAGTGACTCAAGGAGCGCCGAGAGGTAAACTCAGGGTTCGTCTTTAGAAGAAGATGACTGATAAACTGAATGCATGTTGTTGGTGGAGGCGCTGACGGGTCTGAGGAGACTCTCAGGGAAAGTTTCCCCCCCGTGGCTGCCAGATGAAAAAGCTCCCAGAGGTTCCTCAAAGGCCTTTTGGTTTTCAGAGAGCAGTTTTGGAGCGTGGCGGGTTCACGGAGGGTTCGCCGGATTAACCAGGTAGCAGCTGCAGCTCGCCGAGGGATAAACAGCATCTGGAAACCGCCTCCCAGGAAATCTAACTGTTCACGTAGCCGCTAGCTGTTAGCTTAGCTGCTAATCCCGCGAGAGAACCTCCGGGACGGTTCCTTTGAGCTCCTGGATACCTGGAGAAATCTGCACTGAAGTAAATCAGCGATAAAAAGAAGTCTGTGCTGAAAACTGATCGCAATCTTGATTTTTTGTGCCTGCCCTGAGTTCTACCTGAACCAGTCCTGTCGACTTAACCAGCTGAAGTCGCTTTAAAGTTGTAGTTTCACTCATGTAATGCAGATTTTCATTTGCCGAAAACTGTCTGCAGCTACAAGACGGTGATATTTTAAAGATCTTAATTCGTAGGATAAATGTAGAGGAGATTTGTTTCTTTATATGAGACACAAACGCACAAAAAATAGACACAAAATGACAAAAACAAGACAACATAGATGAATGAAAGACATAAAGCGACGACAACAACATGACAAAAATGAGACGGAAGAGGAATAAAAGACATAAAATGACAAAATTCAGGATAAAAATGTGACAATTCAACACAAATTGACAAAAAAGAGACAAAAAACAAGACA